GGTTGAAGTCTGGTCCCTCTCTCCCTGTGGAGCTATAAAAAATACCTCCCCATGGGTGGGTTAGTGGGAGAGTGCTTAAAACGGCGCGTAATGCACAGGGACGGCCTTTTTTACTCTGTTAAACTTGTTTGAAGACGGGTTCACTGGGTACTTTTGGTACAAGAGGTACGTAGTTTTTAGGAAGTTTTCGGTGGGACCTTGAGTTGATTCCGACTCACAGTGGCTGGCCATGTGTATAACAGAGAAAGTACCCAGCCCTGAGCCATGCCCACTGTCAGTGCCTTGCGTGGTCCCAGTTCAGGCGTGACATGGCCACATCAGGGGCTGGACTCTCCATTGTGTGTGGAGGCAGCAGGATGCTGGAGCCCAAGAAGAGGGGCAGAGAAGAAGGAGAAGGTGGGCAGTCAGTGAATGAGCCCAGTCCCACGGAGGAGGAATGTGTGAACCCACGAAACCAACAGAGCTGAGGGAGAGCCAGAAGGGACAGAGCTTTTCTTGAGATGGGGGGAGGTCAGGATTGGCCTGCAGTTGACTCGGCAGAGGGATGCGAAGATGAGGGTGTCAGTGGAGGCTGAAGTCCAGCATGAGGCTCAATTCTGCGAAAGCAGAAAGATGCAGTCTGGAAACTGAGGTGCTTGGTGTTCTGTTGGACCCCATAGAACAGGCAAAGCAGCCCTTCAGGTTTCTCCCATAATGCCACTGGTGAGCTTGAACGCCTGTCTGGTGGTTGACCCAACCCTTGATCCCCTGGGCTCCGCTAGCACGCTTAGTTGCTCCCAGTTCTCAGCAGTGTGGCCCTCTCAGCTGAGCTGAACAAATCCAAACACATTGCTGTGGAGTGGGTGCCGACTCTTAATGACCCTGCAGAACAGTAGAACTGCCCTGTGGGTTTCCAGGACAGCGCGGTTTTGTGTTTGTTTTTTCCCTTCTATTCCATGATTTTCTTTCTTTTTTAAAGATCATTTTATTGGGGGCTCTTACAGCACTGAAACAAATCCCATACATCAATTGTATCGAGCATATTTGTACGTATGTACATATGTACATTTTCTTTTCTTTTTTTGAATCATTTTACTAGGGGCTCATATAACAACAGTGCGTCTTGATGGGAGTAGAAAGCCTCATCTTTCTCCAGCAGAATGGCTGCTGGTTTCCAAATGCCAACCTTGTAGTTTACAGCCTACCTTCCCTTCCCCCACCCCGCCACCCCAGGCCCTCAACCCGAGGCAGGTGGGCATGGCAGGCAAGCAGTGGGGAAGCTTCGGGAATGTGGGGCGGCGTCTGTGCTGTGCACTGGTTTCCCCGCTGGTTTGCCCTTCTGTCTTTGTCTGTAGCATGCTCACCATCACTCGAGGGAGGCCTGGTGGTGCCATGGTCAGCAGTTTGAAACCACCAACTGCTCCTCAGAAGGAAGATGAGGCTTTCTGCTCCGTAACGAGCAACTGCTCCCGTTGGGTCCCTATGAGTCCAATTCTACTTCCTGGCCCTGAGCTTGTTTGTTTATAGGTTCCTAACACACAGTGTGACTATGTTCTGTGCTGGCTGTGTGCTGCCTTTCTCGTTCCTCGAGACTGTAACGTGAAATGCGCAGGCATGTCTGCTTTGTCCACCGATGCACCAGATCAACAGAAGGCTGCCTGACACGGGGCTGGTGCTCAGGAGCATGTGCCAAATGAGCCCCGAGTAAATACATGGGTGAATGGCGACACACCCTTGTTCATAAGGTCTTCATTGGCTGATAGATGACTGCCAGGCCTTTCTTCCTAGCCTGTCTTAGTAGCCATACATGGATATGTAATGTGACTCCAGAAGCATGGAGAAAAATAACACTGAAAACCAAAATTGCATGCTGTAATCCCATTTATGTAAAATGGGTGCGTGCATGTGTGGAGTGGTACATTTACCCCCCTCGAGGGAGTGAATGGCTGAGGGTGGCTGTGGAGGGACTGGTGCCCTGTGATGACTTTGGCTGCTCCGGCCTTCAGAAGGTCACCCCTGACACCACTGAGAAAGGCAAGCTTCCCAGGGATGGTGCAAAACAAACTCGGGGCCTGCTCCGGGTTGTGTGCTCTTAACTGGCGTTCTCAAGTTTTTCTCTCTGGGCTCTAGCACCCATTGCAAAAACCCGCAGACAATAGTCCCCAATAAAGGGTTTACTAAGCAAGCTAAACAAAATTGTAATGCCGGTGAGAACTGCTCAAGGTAGAGTTGTTTATCAGGACACCTTACAAAGGTCTTTCAGTTTTGTTCATAAATATCTAAAGGGACTTACCACTCCGATGTAAGCCTCAGCTCACAGGCACTCAGCTCCACTTCTGGGATCAGCGAGTGCCGCTTCCTGCATTGCGTGCCCCAAGGCCTGCCCCTGGCAGCCAGCCGCCCGCCCCAAAGCACTCAGCTTTACTGCTCCGAGGGTTGGGAAATCTTCATCTTTCTGGTTATGCTCTGGCTCCTGCTTCTGCTCCTCTGATGGTACAGCTGTCTTCTGGACCCAGGGCTCAGAGGCCTCGCTCGGCTCCTGGTCCTTGCTGGTAATGAGATCCCTCAGAGGGCTCATTTTTGTACCCAGCAGGATGACATTCCTGGGAATCCTGCTCACAATGACTCACAGGTGAATCATATCTGTATCTTCCTCCACCTTCTTACCAGACCCTGCAGCAAGCATCCTCAAACTACGGCCCATGGGCCACATGCGGCCCGCGGGTGGTTTTGCCCCGTTTTGTTTTTTACTTCAAAATAAGGTATGTGCAGTGTGCATAGGAATTTATTCATAGTTTAAACTATAGTCCAGCCCTCCAATGGCTCTGCGGGACAGTGAACTGGCCCCCTGTTTCAAAAGGTTGCAAGACCCTGCCCTGCGGGAAAGAAAGGTCGTTGGGTGGGAGTTGGACACTGGCTAGAAGAACCACATTGAGTAATCCCCGGTTATAATAGTGCAACCAACATATACCCCAGGGGGTGATTGACAATGCTGTACTTCTGTGTTTATATGGGTTTTTGCTTTCCGGCTTGTAGCTTGTTTTTGCCTTTCTTCCCCTCCCCCCCCTTTTAGGATGTGTGATGTTTATTTTGTTGCTGGTTGGCACATGGCTGCTATTGATGCAGTTGATGTCATAGGGCTGTGATTTCGTCATATTACGACCTGAGCCGTGCAAACCCCATGGACAAGCAGAGGTGCCCGAACTCCTACTTAGATCGAGCCCCAATTCAAGAACACTTAATTCTGGTGACATGGCCCTGCTCAACACTCACCTTCATGAAAGGACCACTCAAAATAAGGGGCCACAGCAAAGTGTGGTGAAGAAAGTAGATGACGCCTGGCTATCAATCAGAATAGTGTCTGGGGTCTTAAAGACTTGTATTAATACAAGCAGCCATCTAAGTGAGAAGCCAACTATGTCCATCCAGAAGAAGCACATCAGCTTGTGTAATCTAAAGATGACAATTACAAAGTTCTAATAAGGTGATGAGAAAAGTATCAGAGCTAAAATTATGAACACCCAATTTGTAGAAGGCTGTGGAGGACAGTGGGAGCCCAAAATCCATCTGCAGAGTTTCTAGTCAGACTAAACCACTGGCAGATTCCCTCTAGCCAAGGACAAGAGTCCGAAACACCCTGTCAGAGACCATTGCAACTCACCTCCCTGTAGACCCGACCTGAATTGGTTCTGGGTGCAAGTATCTCTTACTTGTTCCATGACAGAAATTTCTTCCCTGAATTTTTGAATGTTGACAGGGGTCTTTTCTTTTTTACTCATTATTTTATTTTGGTCTTTATATTATTATTATTATTTTATCCTTACTACCTTATTTTGAATATGCTTTTTATTGGTTCTGTTGGGTTTCCCAGTTTGTGAAGCACAGGAGGAGTGGATGCACAGTGATATTAACTGATACAAGGGTTTATAGGGGTGCAGGGGCCAGGGGAGGGTGATAGGGAGGGAAAGGGGACTTCAAGAATAAAAGATGAAGGGGAGAGGCGGGAAGGACACTAGAATGGACTGTGTTTGCCCAACTTATTTTAAAGGCTATTTAGCCATGGGGCCGAGTATGTTCTCAAATTGATATGGTAATGATTACACAGTTCTCCTCGATATGACTGAATGATTGCACTATTGAATTGTGATATGTAAATTATGTGCCAATAAAGCTGTTATTAAAAAATTCCCTGTTCTGCAGAAGCTGCAAATGTCCAGACATTTTTTTATTTTCACTGTCACTTTGAAGTTCTGTTTCCTCCTGGTCTCTAAAGTGAGGGTCTTGGTTCTGACTTCTCTCTCCCTCCTTTCCCCCACGCCCTCTTTTTCCCCATACCCTCCCTTCAGCCCACGACGGGATCGTGATTAAGATCGAGGTCCAGACCAATGACGAGGGCTCAGAAGGTTTGGAGACACCTGAGCCCCTGATGGGACAAGTGGAGGAGCACGGCTTTCAGGACTCTGAGCTAGGGGACCCCTGTGGGGAGCAGCCAGACCTGGACATGCAGGACCAGGAGAACGCCCTGGAGGAGTCCACTGGGGGTTCCAGTGAGTTCAGCGAGCTCAAACAGATGCTGGCACAGCAGAGAGAGTGCGCAGGTACGTGCAGGCTGTTGGTGGGCCCTTGCTTTGGGCAGGGGTGACGGGGTAGAACCCAAGCTCCCCGCCTGGGCTTGACAAAGGTCTGTTTTGGGGCCACGAAGGACATTGCTGGTCAGTGGTGTCCAGCCCCCTTACTGACCAGCAGAGGAAGGTCAGAACTTGAGGGTCACACAGATAGTGGCGAAACCAGAGCCTCTGTTCTGACTTACCCTCGGGGTTCTGGTTCTGCGGCAACGGAAAGACTGCCCCCCTGGAAGATGGGCATCTGCCTGGCAGAACACCCCACCCAGGCCAAGGCTCTGCCTGTGAGCCAGTCATTGATGGCAGCAAGCTGTGCTGCCCACCCCCCCTCCGCGCCCTTTCTGAAGGTCCTTCCGCCACTAGCACAGGCTCACTGCCAGGCTCCCAATTAATTAATCTTTGGATCCCTCCGAACGCCCACTGCCACCAAGTGGATTCTGACTACAGTAACTGTCTAGGACAGTAGCATGGCCCCTGGGGGCTCTTTACTGCAGGAGAAAAGCTCATCTCTTCCTGTGTTGGAGCCTCGGCTCTTTCTCCCATGTCTCCTGCTCCCAGTGAGCCTGAGGAAGAACAGAGACATGGGCTTGGATGGCTTGAGGGATATAGACTTCCTGAGGCTGAGCCCCCTTCTGGCCCTGAGCCAGACCCAGCTTGAGCACCTCGTGCCGTTATAAAATACATGATTAACAACTGTTTTATGCAGGAATTTAAAAACTACATTCATAAGGGAAATGAACCTGAACTATCTTTCTCTTTAATCATCCCCATCCAGTTTGGGACACAAGATCATACTAAATGTATGGAGTGAACTGGGGTGGCCTCTGCTCTCTTCCCGGATCCTGGGAAAGCTGAAACTGGAATCGAGTGTTTTTTGAAATTGTGGTCGAAAGCACCAAGTGTTTTTGTTTGTATGTTTTGTTATGTGCCATAGAGTCATTAAGCATCAGATCAGTGAATGAATGATGGCCCACATCCGTTTGATTGTAATTATGGTGTTGATGAGAGGGGCCCTCGCCCCTTTTGTTTTTAAATATGTACAGGCACCTCAGGAAGCCTTCCTCTGCCCCGGTCTGTCTCTCATGGCCCAGTGCTGGGAGACACTAAGCAGAGGATGGGCTGTGCTAAATTGGAAGCTTCAGAATAGAAATTCCAGATTGCAGTTAAGTGTTCCCCAATGACCCTAAGAGAACCTTAACTGTTCTATTCAAACTGAGCAGTAGTTTGTCGACATTTGAGTCTTGTGTTCAGGGGGCAAAGGTCTCCTTCTGACCTCAGGTAGACATCTTTGATGTTCAGAGAGAGTAAAGGTGTCCTGGTGACACCGTGGTAAGCATTGGGCTGTTACACATAAGGTCAGCTGTTCAAACCCACCAGCTCCTGTAAGGGGGGAGGAAGAGGCTGCCTGCTGCTGTGCAGATTTACAATCTCAAAAACCAGAGGACGCAGTTCTGCTCTGTCCTGTAGGGTTGCCATGAGTCAGATGGACTTGGATGACAGTGGGCTTAAGGCCCACATGTCCCATAAACTACTGTACTTTCAGGGTAAACACGGGCAATTCGTTACCAGCCTCTTGTCTTGTCTCCTCTCTGACTTTCCCCTGTGTTGAAGGTGCTGTGTACACAGCAAGCTAGGTTCCTACCTAATGACCTGCACACAAGTGAGCCCATCACATTCCTTGCTTATTGTCCTCCGTTCTGGTCGGACCACTTCGGCCCTCTACTGCCCCTGGCCCCTTACCTTCTCCTCTTTGCAGGAAAAGAGTTTGACTGTTTGGTCCCACCCGAGGAGGCCTGGTGGCGGAGTGGTTACCAGTTGGGCTGCAGTCCGCAAGGTCAGCACTTCGAAACCACCAGCTGCCCCATGGGAAAAAGACGGGACTTTGTACTCCTCTTAAGAGTTACAGTCTCGGAACCCCCCGGGACAGTTCTACCCTGTCACAGGGTTGCTGCAAGTCACAGTTGACTCGGTGGCAGTGAGGCTGGGTTTTGGTCTCACATAGATTTTTGGGGTTTTTTTTTTTAAGGCACTCATTATTTTGTGAGCCAAGCTGTTATTTAGTAAAAGTTAATTCCATGTCGGGTTTTAAGGGTATCTCATGGTGATAATCTCAGGGTCATCTCACCTCAAGAGCCCAGTGAGTCCGGTTTCTCAGCACTGTGGGTTCTCCTGTCATCTCCTGGGGCCTGGTTAGAGAATGGGCAGTGGCGGTGGACGCCATCTTGTTCGTCTGGTCTCTGGGTGGATGAGTCCCTGGTTTATGTCAACTGTGGTTCTGTAGAAGCTGTTCCTCTCTTCTTTTTCTTTTGTTCTGGATGAGTGGAGACCAGCAGCCTACTTCCTGATCCTTTACGCCTTATGTTCCTGGGATTGTCTGGGTCACACCTGCTGAGGATCCTGGGTACGGAGGCAGCCTGGTCCTGTGACAAGAGCCTTGAGCTGGCCTCAGCACATCCGGGCCCTGATTTTGAGGTGGCCACTGCCTAGGTGCAGAGGAAGAGGAAGCCTTGCTTGGGGCTGGGACTGACCCACAAACATGCAGGGTCCCAGACACACCACCGGCCTTGCTAGCCTCAGTGTCTCTGTCAGCGGACGGGGAACTAGATGGTTCTACACGACAGGCTCTGGAAGGTCACTGATTTTGACGGCTTATTTGGAACATTGCATCCTCTCTCTGGTCTTAGGGTCCCTTCTGGGAAAGGGAGGTGACCCCACTTGACTGGCCCTGGAATAATTAGGTGCCATGAGTCTGAAAAGAGGAAACAGTGCCTCTTCCCTGCTGGGTGACACCCCCACCCCCCACCCCCGTCCCCACCCTTGAAGAAAGTACACACAGTCACCATCAGGACAAGGAGCAGCCTCAAGGGCTGGCATTACGGGAGGCCCTGGCCCCTCCCCCAGACCTGGCCTCAGAGAGTGGTGACCCTTGTGACTGCTGCTGGGTGGTGAGGACGGGCAGGCGGTGCAGTCCTGGCCCCACGTTGATGGGTGGCATGAACTGTGTGTGTCTTTCTCAGAGGGCAACGCCCAGGGCTGGTCCTGGCCCAGTGATGGACCAGCAGCCCTCTCCCTTCTGTGTGTCTGTCCCCGGACTGTGGCCTCAGAGTGGAGATGAGCCACCCATGTGACCAACCGCTCTTCGGAGGTGAGGGTGGGGACACTGCCCTTTCAGCCAGGGGTGGAGGTCGGCGCTAACTCTCCTGTTTGTCTGTTTTTCCTGCCGGGCTCCGGAACAGAGGGCATCGTAATCAAGACGGAGGAGCAGGATGAGGAAGAGGAAGAAGAGGAGGAAGAAGAGGAGGAGGAGGAGCTGCCCCCGCATCTGCAGTCCCTTGGGCACCTGTCTGGCCGCTTCGAAGCCAGCATGTACCAGGCCCCACTCCCTGGGGAGCTGTCCCCGGAGGGCGAGGAGAGCCCCCCAGCACTGCAGCTGAGCAAGCCGAGCCTGCGGCGACTGGCTCCCACGGGACACGGCGAGCGGCATCCAGGGGAGGGCCGCGGATCGGCCGGGCAGCAGCAGCAACGCAACCGGCGTGGCGGGCGACCCTTCACCTGCCTGGAGTGTGGCAAGAGCTTCCGGCTCAAGATCAACCTGGTCATCCACCAGCGCAACCACGTCAAGGAGGGGCCCTACGCCTGCGCGGAGTGTGAGGCCAGCTTCCGCCACAAGCAGCAGCTGACCCTGCACCAGCGTGCGCACCGAGGCCCACGCACGCCATCCTCGCCCGAGCGCACGCCCGGCCTGCACCCCAAGCACACGCTCAAGCCGCGCCCCAAGTCGCCAGGTGCAGGAGGGGGCGGCGGCGGGGGCGGCGGCTCCAAGCCTTACCAGTGCCCGGAATGTGACAGCAGTTTCAGCCACAAGTCCAGCCTGACCAAGCACCAGATCACGCACACGGGCGAGCGGCCTTACACGTGCCCCGAGTGCAAGAAGAGCTTCCGCCTGCACATCAGCCTGGTCATCCACCAGCGCGTGCACGCCGGCAAGCACGAGGTCTCTTTCATCTGCAGCTTGTGTGGCAAGAGCTTCAGTCGCCCGTCGCACCTGCTGCGCCACCAGCGGACGCACACGGGCGAGCGGCCCTTCAAGTGCCCCGAGTGCGAGAAAAGCTTCAGCGAGAAGTCCAAGCTGACCAACCACTGCCGCGTGCACTCGCGTGAGCGCCCGCACGCCTGCCCCGAGTGCGGCAAGAGCTTCATCCGCAAGCACCACCTGCTGGAGCACCGGCGCATCCACACGGGCGAGCGGCCCTACCACTGCGCCGAGTGCGGCAAGCGCTTCACGCAGAAGCACCACCTGCTCGAGCACCAGCGCGCGCACACCGGCGAGCGGCCCTACCCGTGCGCGCACTGTGCCAAGTGCTTCCGCTACAAGCAGTCGCTCAAGTACCACCTGCGGACCCACGCGGGCGAGTGAGCACGGCGGCGCCGCCGGGTGCGGCGCTGCGCAGTGCGGGACTGCCACCCCTTTTCGATACTGTGGTTCTCTTTGATAATAATAGAGTAATTTTTAAAAGACGAGCGTTTCCTGGTTGCCGTTTTTGTTTGTTTCTGGAGGGGAGGGCGGCGAGGCCCCGCGCGTGACCCGAGGGCGTGTGCCCGCCCTGGATGGGAGCCGAAGGCAGCAGGGGCCTCACGCCAGCAGCTGGGGAAGCCTTTTTGGTCAGCACCATGCGTGCACCGTGCTTTTGGCGGTCGAGGGCGGGAAGTGGTCGGTTTCCACCTCTCTCCTGGGAAGACTGACCCTGCCTGGGAGACGTTGGCCTGGGCTGGCCAGTGACCCCGAGCGAGGTGAGGGGACAGTTGGCCCGGGGAAGGAGCTGCTGGCGCTAACCGTGAACACTGGACAGCCAGGCTGGAGGGAAGGGCTGGGACGGGTGGGAAAGCGTTGTCTGCTTTGGAGGGATGACACCCCACCGCGTGTAAAATGTGCCCCACCTGAGACATAGTGGGGAGCGATGGCCCAGGTGGCCTGTGGAGAGGGCATCAGGTCTCTATTGATAGTGGCACAGTAAGGCAAGGGCAGGGCCCTACAGGCTGTGTGCCCAGGGCGGCCAGGGAGCCCCGAGGGACTGAGCCGGCCTGCAGCATGTGAAGCAAGGCTTTCTCCGTGGACACTTCGCGAGTGGAGGTAGGATAAGGGAGGCGTGATTGATTGGACCCAGAACCGGAAGGAGGGGTCGTGCAGAGCCCAAGTCGAAGGTCGGCTTGGGATGAAGGCCAGAGACTTTGGGTGCAACCCCCGTCCCCCGTTGGGGGGAGGGGAGGCCTTGAGTTTGACCTTGCATGGGAAGCAGTTTGCGCTGGTCTGAATCAGCCCCGCGAGTGGGCCCGTGGGGGCGGCCATGCTGACGAGACTGAGCGGGGACTGGAGCGGAGAGGCGATGGCTGGGTGTCCCGGCTCGCTGAGGCCCAGGGAGGGGAGTGCAGAGGCTTTGGGGAGCTGCTCGGTGGAGACCTGCTGTGCTGTCTCCTCTGGGCTTGGCAGGCCGGGGCGATGGGAGTTTGGTGTGGAGTCCCAGCTGGGCGCTGCTTCACTCGGTAGTCACGGGGGCTGTCAGCGCCCCCCAGCAATACCGTTGGAGGCGAGTGGGACTAGACTGCGGAGGAAATCTGGTTTCTGGAGGATTGAGCCCCGTGGACGGGCAGCTTGTGTGGCGCTGGCCTCTCGGGGACTCCCAACTGCTCGTTCTCTTCCTGGGCTCCAGCCCCGCTTGTCGCCCATGCCCTCCTAGGTGCCCAGCAGCCTCCGCTCCGGAAGCCTCCCTGTTTGTCCTGACCCCGTAGCCCGCGTGAGCCTCCCTGCCTTCCTCTTGCCCTGTGTCCCCAGCAGCCCCTGTCCAGGGTCGCCAGCGCCTGGGCGACCCTTGACCTGGATGTAAACCTCCTGACCTGATGTAACTTCTGGCCTCGCCCCTTCCTGGCTGTGCAAGCCAGTTTGCCGCTTTCTCAGACAGACACCCGTTTCCTGTCTGTCGATGGGAGTGAAGGACCCAAGAGACGTGGCGCTGGGGCTCGGGCCGAGCTGGCAGGTTCGCTCCGGGATGGAGCGGCGAGGCCGAGCTGTAAGGAAGGAAGCCCTGGGAAGGGAGCGTGTCTCCTTAGCCGCTCACAGCGGGAGAGGAAGTCCAGGCCAAGCCAGCCGAGTGGACCGCGGGCCCCGCTGCGCTCCAGGACCGGAACTGCCCGCCCCAGCTCCCTGGGGCACCCCCGGTCAGAGCAGGCCACCCTAACCGGCAGCTGCGGTTTGTTGTCCTCTGGCCGAATAACGTTTCAACAGCACAAATAGTTCCAAGGTGGCCATCTTTATACGCAGGTGACAGCTTGAGACTCAGAGAGGTCGTGTAGGCCCAGTCACACAGCAGCCAGACCATAGAGCCAAGCCTTGAACTCAAGTCCTTTTGACTCCACAGTCCATGTTCCCGCCCTGAGTGGTTTCTGAGAGAACAGCCAGTGGCCACTTAAACGTTACTCCACATTTCACGGGCCGACTTGCTGGGGCAGACGGGGACAAGCAGCGTGGGCTCTCAGATGCCAACAGAGAAAGTGTTCTGAGCCAGAAAGGCCCATCTGGGCCCTGCCATCGGCAGCCAGAGATGGTGGTCAGCCCTGGTTCACTCACAAATGGGGAGAGCGGGTACATGGCCTGGGCCTTTTAGGGTGCTCGACACAGCCCCTACTGCATATTAAGCACCGCTTGCAAAGCACTTCCGTGCTGCGAGGAGGAGTACTCCCTGAACAGCCCTTACTGGGTGGAGCCAAGCCTTGGGTGGGTGGGGCGTTGGGGGGATGGGGGGGTAGGGGCAAGCCAGGTCTCAAGTCCTTCCTGTGTCCCTCTCTGTAGGCCTGGGCATTACTGGTCAGGTTGACTGTGGAGGCCTCTCCTGAGATACTGTAGTGGCAGCTCCTCAGATTAAGGGATCAGGGATGAGGCCCTCCAGGTCCGGCTGTTGTCAGGGCAACGGTGAGTCAGGCCAGGGCCTCCCTTCTTTCTGGAAAGCTATTTACCTCGTCCTGCTTCTTGATGGTAGTGAGGCCTTCTAGATTTAAATTAAAAACAATCTGAGTTTACCACTCTTAGCTGGATACCTGATAAGATTCAGCCGTTAAAAAGGTAAACTCTGGGCTGAAAGCACAAGGAAGGGGGTGGGGGGAGGAGAAGGAAGGAGAAAGGAAAAAGGTGAGGGAAATTCACCCTAGCCACCAAGAACTCCCTGCGGGAAGGGAAGCCTTGGGTTTGGGGATAAGAACACGTCAATCACTGCCCCTCCCGAGCCTTCCCTGGCCCCGGGCACTGTGCTGAGCAGGTGCTTCCATTTCATCCAATGGCCCACTGTGACTTCGGCCTTGGGCAGTGGGTTGGATTGGGCTTTCCCTTTTACAGATGAAGGTTGGAAAGGTAATGAATGCCTTGGCCATCTATGGAGCCTCAAGTCTGTGCTGTTAACAAATGCTGTTATATACTGCCTCCCGATTTCTTCAACGTGGACCCTTAATAAACAAGGCAAAACACTGCGATCTCTCTCTGATTTACAGCCCTGACTGCTCTATGGACACTGCGTGTTGAGTTCTGGAAGCAGGGGGCTGGCCAACCAGCCAGGGCAGAGTTGGGGTTGACGGTATTGCTCATTGGCCAGGGAGAGTCAAGCCAAGCCCCCACTAGAGAGAGACTCTTAAGAGTGCCTCCTCACCCCCACCCTCCCGCGTCTGCGCTTCTGTGTTTCTGATGTTGGAACCTAAGTAGCCATTTTATTTCCCAGTCAGAGGAGTTGATGGCACCCGACCCTGACCTCCCTCCTGGCTTCCGTCAGCACCCTCCCACCATGGCCACGGCTTGAAACCCACTGGCTCTCCTCAGAAAGTTTGGCCCAGAGTCTCCAAATAAAACACGTGTTGTAAGACAGCTGTGTTATTACTCCCGACTAACTAGAGTAATGGAAAGTTGTATTTTAATGACAAAATATACTGATAAAAATCCTGACCAGTAATTTTATTTAAAGAATGACCATTAGGACAGACTGTTCCCCTTTCTATTCAACAGTGTCTAATATGCAGAAAACCCTTTCAAGAACTAAATTTAATCAGTTCCCTATTAACAGGATATACGGATGTACTCATACTAAATTGTACCTACCAGGGATTGAGAGTAATTAGATTTACACTAAACTCCATTGAGAAAATTAAGCAGGTTCTGAAGCATGGTGTTTGCCATACTTCCCTGGAAGTGCAGTCCATGAACTGCATGGTGCCTGGTGCTGTTCAGTTACTTAGAAGAGTTCTAGTTTCTCGTGTTAGAGTGGTCATATCTGTGTGGTCCTATTTGTCACGTTTATTGTGTCAGAAGCAGAGGCAGTGTAGTGATTTGCAGTTTCCCATGGACAGTTTATAACAACATGCACAAATAAAAACTTCCTCATGTCTTCCTCCTCTTTAACCTAGTTTATCCTGAGTTGATCACTGCCTTGTCAAACCAACAGCTTGCTATACATTTTTTTTTGTTATTCCTGTTTTTATTTTAATGGGTGCAAGCACTGAGGGTCTCAGACAAACACACTGACATAGGAGGGAAAGGAATTTTGCTATAACAACTTCTGAGTTTATATATATATATATATATATTAATCAGTTAATTCAATTTTTATTTGGTGGGTACAAGTGAGGCAGTGCAGGGCTACCAAGGCCTTCATGAATGCAGGCCCACCACTTGTCCAAGGGGCTATGGTGAGGGATGTATTTGACTCCACAGCCCGGATGAGGCGCTTCTCAGCCACCATATCCTCAAACTCATCTGCATTAAACTTGGTGTGGCCCCACTTCTTGGAGAAGTGGATCTTCTGGCGCCCAGGGAACTTGAACTTGGCCCTGCATAAGGCCTCAATCACATGCTCCTTGTTTTGAAGCTTGGTGCGGATGGACATGATAACCTAGCCAATGTGGACTCTAGCCACCGTGCCTTGAGGTTTCCCAAAAGCACCTCACATTCCAGTTTGGAGCCTAGTTTAGGGAGAGCAGAAATTAGCCAGGCCAGAGACAATGAAAAGCAGCAAAAGGTTGTCTCCAAGGTCCCTTGGGGCAGCCTATGCATACCAATAGGCTGCATACACTACTGAGGAGGCTGGCTGTTTGCAGCCATTGCACACCGGCCCCCACAAGGAGGACAGTTGGCTTCATTGGCTGCAGCTTGCTATACATTTTCAAATAAGTTTGCAAGAAATTAAACCTTAAACCGCTAAGAAAGACCAGTCTTGAGTGTGTTAAGATTCCAACTGTAGACACACACTTCTCGCTCAAGTTTGTGTCAGGTCTTCAGGGTGGAACAAACCCTAATAGCACGCCAACAGCATGTTTTTACCCAGAAGATTAACTTATATCTGTGTGGAATAATCACACAATATGAGGAACTCATGGGGAAAAGGAATAAAAAGATAAAACTGAATTTCAGTAACAAAGAGTAACAAAAGAAACCCACTTTATCTGTCACCTAGAACATAAGTTCTACCACCATCTTTTCAGGGGGA